ATTGATGGTTTGTATCAAACCAAGAAAGGGATAACTGAACTTCCAAGTGCTTTATGTAATCACGTTATGAAGCCTGTGTGGCAGAAATTGCGGGGCAGGAGTTGGCAGTGTTTATAATGAGGAAAATATTGAAGGATTGAAAAATGGCCTTTCGATCCGTAGTCAAACTGATGCTTTTTACGTGGCAGTTGGGAATTCTACTGCAGGAGCCACGCCAGTGCTTGAATCAGCTTACGAGAAAAAACCCTCTAATGGGGTGATATCGCTCCAACGTGTGTCCCGTTGCAGGGTCCCAAATCGACTATTATTACAATGGTACAAAATTACATATAAGCTCCTGTGACTGGCCTTACAATGGGTAATTGTTGCGCAACTGAAGAGAATGTGATGAAAAACGCTTCTCTCAATATCCACATCATTACATCATAGTGTGCTTTTGATATCTACAAAAACACACTAGTATTTTATTACAACTACCATCGTTGCATCCAACCGGACCCACAGATAGCGCGTCAAAGTAGTCGGCATGCAGAATAAAATAAAAAAGCTATAGAGAGCCCTAGAAGTCGCTTCCTTTGACTTTGTTGCTTTTCCGAATCGAAAGTTTTCTCAAGTAGTGAAGGCCTTCAGGAAGTGTTCCCGCAACCCCCGAAAACAATTTGTTCGCAGCAGGCCTCCCCGTCATATGCTCATAAACATTCAAAATGGACAAAAAGGTAGATTGAGTTTGCCACGCTTGACTCAAATCAATAAAAAATGCGACAGAAGCCAGCTCGCCTACTTATTTGTATGGCACTGGCACCCATAACAACTAGGACCTGCCGAATGTTTTTAGAGAATGGATGGCCCTAGGATAGCAATACACATTTCTTCAGGAGATTGCGATACACTTTAATGTTTTTGGCAAGATGGTGTGCTGTACATACTTCACATCATATGCGACACAACTGTGAAACTTCACCAGGTGAACACATTCGCAAGATTCAAGGAAGTGTGCCAGATGTGATGCGTATCGCAACGTTGGTTGCGATAACTGGTGCCTGTGAGTGTTCGTAAAAAGGTTTTTCAGGAACTAGGTGCTGAAAGATATGCACATTTGCTCGACATTTACTGCTGCTTTTTACTGCAAGTAGAAATTTTTTGCGCTTACTGCTTACACGACAAATAAGTCATCTGATACCTCTTCGACAAAAATCACAGGATATCCACGGAGTCATGATGATGAATGGGGACAAGCAAACGTGTGTTCGTCCATCCGTGCATCTGCCTGTGCGTTTGATCGCGCTTGAGAATGCAGATGGCGTGCGCGTAACGCCGACGAGACGTGAGCCAAAGAAGCCGAGCGCAAGCGTCTTTATCGCGCAACAAGCAACAGAGCCGAGAGACGAACGTCGAGGCACTTGCAACATCGAAGACAGCTTGGGGATCTACTCGAGTGCGTGCGCACGGAGGTGGAGGCTCGTGAGGGTTTGAACACCAGCGGTCGGGGTGCTCGAGATCACCGACATGGCACGTTTCACAACGCTTCACCTAAGGCATCTGCTCTTAGTAGCCACGCAAAGAATCAGAAAGGTACCTGCTTTTTTGCCATTTGTTAGTTGACATAGACTTGTTCTTACGACAATATTATAGACGCGATAAAGAGCCGCTTAGTGAAGGCTGGCAGATGTTTCATGTGTACTAGCAAAGGACACCGCTCTAAAGAATGCCGTCTCAACCTCAGGTGTTCAAGGAACAAAGTGAAGACACGCAACAGTTCTTTGCGACCGCAGATACGCTAAGAAGCACTCAAACGAATGAAGGACCCCAAGCATGCATGTCAAAACGTAAGAAGTCATCATCGTAACATAAAGAAAATGTGGTCCTACTACAAAAATGTCGTGCTTTGTTGATAACAGAAAGTGACTGACGCTTCGTTAAAGTAGTACTTGACACTGGAAGCAAATGGACATTCATTACAGAAGATATCCTGTAAAAAGCTAAGATTGCTCGCAGTGCGCACCATCGATAAATGACAAGGCGTTTGGAGGAGCAAGCAAAGCACTGAAAAGGCGTGTAAAGCTTGTCCAAATGACACTAATGAGTCATTTTGGTCATTCCAAACATAAGAGAGAAACTACAGAAGCACTCATGAACCAGTTCGCGCAAGCGCTGCCACACGAAAAGACATTTATTGCAGACATGACAGTGATTCCTGGATTGAAATGAAAGATTGGCATATGCTTGTTTTTTGGAGAGGGCCAAATGTGGACGTTTTTACACGAAATTTTCTCTCACGAGAACCAACAAGGCGTGATTTTCATCAATACGAAACTTCGATGTCCGTTTCAAGGTTCGATACTGTGAAAAACAGAATTATACCGGGGCTGTACGCACATCTGCATTCTTCGTACAAGTTGTGATGACTACGTCTTGTCTCCCTCAATGCAAAAATTCTCGCATCTCGAGGCTAGAAGCTTGGAAAGAGTTACAAATGATAACAAGAAAGACGCACCCCCCCCCCCCCTCAATTCCACAATGGAAGTATCGCACAAAGATCGGCTATTTGAAGTCGCACTTCTTTAGGCGAATCTGAACTCGAATTTCACGGATGAACTAGCAGGTTGTGATTCGAGCACGACACAGCTCCCCTAAATGTGACCTAAAACTGCAAAACAAGATGATAATACCACACTGTTCTGACATTGCTCTTGCTGAATTTTCTTTGGAGGACGCAGACTCATATTTCGACGACAAGCGCACGCTCGCAATACGAACGCGTAATGGGAACGTGGATCTCACGTGCTGTGAGAAGACACCGGTGCTACTTCTGAACTATCTACCTGTGACTCGGCTCATTGCCATGCGGGCTCACAAATATTGGAGGACCCTTAAGCTTTGCCTTTAGGAGTTGAACGTGATAGCAAAATCCAGCCTCTAGTGCAACCTTCAACCACTAAGTGCATAAATATATTACGTTTTGTTACATACACACGCACGCACACAAACACGCACACAGTATTTGAACCAGTGTGCGCTATTATCGCCGAATCGCCGAATGGGCTCGTTTTTGTCGCAAAACCTAACGAATAATATGCGTTAAAGTGGCCCTAAAACACAAGTTCAAGTAACCATTGAACGAGTTCACTAGAAGAGCTTATTGGCTCACGAATTCAACGCTGCAAAACTTTTAGGAATCCGTCTAATACAAGTGGAGTTACAAAGGTTTGTCGCATGCTGCAATTGCATTATCTCTTCTCTCGTCTCGATGACAGCAATGGAAGCTAAGCAGGGAGGGCTGGCAGGGAAAGGAACTACCGCGCCTCGTGTCCTTGGGCACTTTTTTTCGTATGCGCGGCTTTTTTAGTGTGATCGCACGCGCACGCTTGGACAAGTAGCGGCCTCTCGCGGCTATCTTGGTAACTTAAGTTTTTGGTCACACCGGCACAGACGATTTTTCGCTCACAAGCACTTTGGCTTACGCCAGCGGCGGGTTTTTTGCGACACGAGCTCTTCAACGCTATTGTGTTAAAACGAAGCTCCACGGTGGTGTTGGTGCTATGTTAGCCGAGAATCGTGCTAGGTTCAGGGTGGTGTGAGCGAGACAAGCCATGAAGCATGTGATTGGAAAGTTTTTGATGTGTGCGTAGTTTCGAGCGAAGGCGACAAGTGTACCAGTTAACTGAAAGGGCTAACTCAATTACTCTTCTGAGTAATCGAGTCAGCCCTTTTAGAATAGCAGGAGTACATTTTGCAGGATTCATGTTTCTGGGGATTATGGTGTTACATCTTGCTTTTTTTCTGCAGTAGTGAGGGCCTTTTTGTATACGCCAGATACTGGATTTCACTGAAAGCTCTTTTTTATAGCATTTAAGAGGTTCCGCGCACTACGTAGGACACCACGAATTGTTTCCTGGAACAATGGTGTAACATTTAGGAAGGCTGCTAATGAACTAGATTTGATGCAACATTTAGTAAGAAAAGACGTGATATCTAACTATTGGTGAACATTAGGGAGACAGAGAAGTTCTCAGCAGGAAAATGTCCTGGGTGAGGTGGTTTTTGGAAAAGATGCATTTAAATTGTGAAATACTGTCCTCGATGATAAATTGGTAGACGCACATTATACCTGCGGGAACTAATAACGTTGCTAGCAGAAACGGAAGCAGTGGTAAGTTCCAGGCCCATAACTTTCACCTAAATAAGCCCAAACGAGTCGAATGTTCTGACTACATCTTCTTTTTTCTTAGGATGCCAATTGCTGCCTACAGCGGGGGGACTGGGTGAGCTGCAGGGTATATACATTTAAGAGTTTGTGGGTTGTCCGACAGCACCTACTGCAACATTTATGCAAATGGTGGGTGCGCGAATATTCGCTCTTACTTCACAGCGCACATTTGAGAAGCTTTTTGTAATCACGGTGTTGAACAGGTAGATTTAGTGATTGTTCATATGAACCAAGTACCCGGAATGTTTCGAAAAACTTCTAGGAACAGAACTTTCAATGGGCCATATTGGGATCATCACCTCAGGCAGCGCAATGTGTTAAAAATTGATTAGGATTTAGCCCAATAAAGAGGGCAACGAAGTGTGGGCACGAGAGAAGAGCTCATGTCTGGTGTGTGCCGAATGAACTTTGGCCAGGCATGACTTTGGCGCATTTGTTATCTCTCTGAGTAATTAAACCTTTCTTTTCGCTTCTCTATACCGGCGAAGGCACCTTTCTTCTACAGCCCCGCCGCGGTGGTCTAGTGGCTAAGGTACTCGGCTGCTGACCCGCAGGTCGCGGGTTCAAATCCCGGCTGCGGCGGCTGCATTTCCGATGGAAGTGGAAATGATGTAGGCCCGTGTGCTCAGATTTGGGCGCACGTTTAAGAACCCCAGGTGGTCGAAATTTCCGGAGTCCTCCACTACGGCGTTTCTCATAATCTTATGGTGGTGCTGGGACGTTAAACCCCACAAATCAATCAATCAATCTATCACCTTTGTTCTACACGTGCTGATTTTTGTTTTCTTTCTAGATGTGAACTTGGACTGGAAGGTTATTATAATGGAATAGTTTTAATCAAAACAAATTCAAGTTCAAAGTTAACCTTAATAACCAGGCCTGACGGCGGTTCGATTACATACACAGGAGCAGGCAATAATTATTATCAAGGCCAACCTTTTGCGTTTAGATTCCGTGCAGCGTACGTGAAGCGTCTAGACAAAAATTCTGTTACGGTGAGTATTACAAATTTTATACCGCTCCTTGATTAATGCACGGACATCTTCGTTGAATAGTAAGCCCTGCAAACGTCATGAAGTGGTTAACAAAATAAACGGAATAGCACTGCGCCGGCGGGTATAATTTATCACGCAATTTTCTTGCTAGGGGAGCAATGTGACAAACTTTTCTAATATATTGCATCCAGTACAATCTTCCTGGAAGCTTTTGTTTGAGACTAGTGATCAAAAAATTTTGCTGAGCGTAGCTTCAAAGAGCAGTGACACCGAAGTTCAAACACGAGATGTGGTGTTGTATTGATTCCTCGGCACGCATGAGTTTTTCGAGCGAAGTGTGAATTGCGTACATTACGCAAAAAGTGTTCTATTTTGAGCGCAAGGGGCGCCCGAGGCTCATCGGCGTGTTCCCGGTCTTGAGACATCGACTGTAATTCGAAGTATTCTGCAAGCTCCTACGCCACCCCTCAGGCGCCAAGTGACGGTGAGCGAGCAGTGAGGACGTCGGCAATCGTAGTGTTATCATTGAGGTGTCTACATGCGGTATCACCTGGCAGCGACGCCTGGCTGCCTAGAAACGTCAATTGCTTTGTTTCGCTTGCCTCGTGAAACGCGTACCTGTCGATCCTGCGTTTTTGTTGATTCCATTCTGGTGATTTCGGGTGAAGTCGTGAGCCCGAATTTTGTTATTTGAAGCTACGGGCATCGCGAACAAGCAACATGCACGCAGAGTTCATATGAAATCTGAACTTCTGCTCTACGAAAAAAGACCCCGAGGTGGCGGCCACCATGACTGGAAACCTGCGTCTCGAAGTTAAATACGGCTTTTCACTGCTGACGGATCCCCAGTGCCCAGAGGGGATTCGCTTCGAATATTGGAAATGTATATCGAGTCTCACGGCGCTAACGGAGCTGCACTCCGACAGATCACTACCAAGACGAAAAGTGCTTTCGGGCTCAACCGGAGAATCACCGGGAAATCAGTGATCACCGGGAGATCAAGGAACACAATCTCATCCGCATCATGCACGCGTTTCTTCTCTGCCACCTTTCGTACTCGGTGGCCATGCGTAATTGGCATGTTGAGAAGAGGAGTAAGCTCGATTCCCTCATAAAAAAAGATATTCAAGCTCGCGCTCGGCTTACCTGTAATCACTCGCACTGAAAACCTTTTCAAGCTCAGTGTTCACAACTACACTCGAATAAGCAATCGAGGCGCAAGAGCACTCACAGCTGCTCAGGCTTTTCGGAACTAAATCGGGCCACAAGATATTCGATGATTTGGTCCTCAACTTTATTGACAAGTTCCCCGATTCCATGCAGATTCAGAACCATCAGGTCTCAACTGCGCATCGCACCCATTCTCCGTAACAAGCACCCTGCGCACAACGTCGGTCGACGTAGGGCCAGGGGTAGAGCTCTGCTCGAGGACGTCCGTAGCAACCCCACTGATGCAAGCTTTGTGGTTGCTGCGCCATATGTCCTACAAGAGGTATTCGCTGCTTCCATCGTTGACTCGTCGACTCATATTCCAGGCTCACTTGCTCCACCACGGTACGCACATCGAAACCCGTGATAACTGGTTGCAATCGCGCTGGCTATGCTATAGATAGTCGCAGATAATAAATACACAGCGACTCCAAGGCGGCTATGAAAGCCTAGAAAAACCAGGATGACAGCCCCTCAAGCCCTCCGCATTCTCCGAAACCTCAAGAGTATCACGACCCATTCTCTTACTTGGTTTCCCGCTCACCTGTGTTCAGTTGAGGGCTCTACCTCTAACCCTAATGAGGGCGCACACGAGGCCGCGCGAGGACTCACTGACCGCGCCGCCCCTGCAGTCCCTCTGCCTCGCTGGGCACCCTTACTTACGTTCAATGAAATAACGAAGCACTTCCAGCTGTCAAGAAGGGTATTCCCCCTCCCCTACCCTGCCTTGTGCAAGGCGCAGGCAGTTACCTTTAGGCTATTGAAAGCCAGTGCGTATTCTAACCCTGCAGTTCTTCACACCATGTGCTATGAACTGTATCCAAGTGCGGATTGCCCCGCCTGTGGACTGTTAGCAACATTCAACCATGTGTTGTGGGAATGTGAAGCCATCGGCTCCACCCTCAGTGAGGACAGGTGGGTTGCTGTCTTAGGCAGCCCCGAACTTAACGATCAAACCTTGGCCGTCCAGAGTGTCCGTGAACAGGCTGGCAAACTCGGTTTGATGGTCCCTACGTGGTGTTAGCCGGATGGCGCGGGGTCTTCCCTCCGTCTTCTCAGGACCAAAATAAAGTTTTATTTAAGCATTCGATGAGCCTACATATAGGTAGCGAGCCAGCGTAGCCCAGGCATGCGTCTCCACCTGTTTCGTCGCTGCTCGGTCTGGTGTCGATTTTAATATCACTGCTCCGAAGAGGATACAACTGAAAATTATTCGCCACGCCCGTAATGAAGGCGGTTCCATATTCCATAGTGTTTTCATTATTTATATTGGACGTTGATAACGGCGGCGAAAACATGTACGCACACGTGAGCGCTGAGCAGACGAATTGTCATTAGATATTCGTGTCCATTTTTGTAGTTTTGTAACAAGATGAAGCCGCTCCGCGGGAGTTATTATTTCCAGCACATCAAATCGGAGGTGCTTAGACGAAAAAGATGTCTCAGAGATCACGTAAGAGCCTAAAGACCCGTACAATAACAAACGGCATATAAATGTTTACAGTGTTTATAATAGAAAGACAGGCCAAAGTACAAGTTTGTTTCTTTTTAGACAACAAAATAAACACACAATGTGACGGTTTGTACGTGGGTGACATTATTATTGTGTGCAGATGTGCAAAAAGGACAATTTTGACACAAAAGGCACAAACAAAAAGCACAGTATGAATACAGGTACTTCCGATTGAGCAGGTGCTATATGTTGAGGAGCAGACTTCGCACGTGTTTCTTGAACTTCAGGCAACTCAAAACCACTATTAGTTGAAAGTTTGTTCAATTTACTAGGTATCTGACAATCAAAAAGGCATTCACCATAGCATGTGCATAAAAAAGGAACGTTTAACGTACGAATTCATCCTTTTTTGTACTATTAATACCAAATTGTTACTAGGGAATCGATATCTACACGTTGACGCAAAAAAAAAAAGAAACGTGGCATCCGTCAAGTTAATTTCACTACTTTCTGAAGCTTCACTCCGCTCCACACAGCTATGCGGCCCGACATCAGTAAGGGGAATCACATACAATTCTCGTGTTCGACAAGTTCCCATTGTTAAGACGCCATCAGCTTCCTTGCAATCCTACGGCGAAGCCACGCTGACGCACCTTCACATTCCGCTTTCAGGAGAAAAAAAAAACAAGACAGAGATCCACAAGCTAACGTCTCCTGTAGACACCTTCTCCTCACATTCTTGTCTCATTTCTCATGATGCTTCAATTTCATTTGTTTTGCATCTTGAAAAAAAGTTAGTGAGCGCGCTTGCTTGCGAAGCAATCCCCCTTCTGAAACTACTCACTCCTTGTTCTCCGTAAGCTGGCAACGATTCTCAGCATGCCCCTGTTCTATTGCTTTATGACTGCTGTTCAAAACTTTCACACTACCATCTTTGTTCTTAGGTTTTATTAATGATAGTGTATCAGGCCGAAATCTGCAAACTTTAGTCACGTATTCCGTTTATTGAAGTAAACCTGAAACTAGCACATGATCATATAGGGATAAAAAGGTCACAGTTTTTCCTAAAGCCCAAAGAAATATGCGATAGCCACATATTCGAGTGTTTTATGAAGCAAGGATAGCATTCGATATCACGCAGCTCTAGAAAGCGCTGGTGTAAGGGCGCGTTTACACTAGAGTGAAACGACATTGACATGACCTCGACAAAGACACGAGGCAGACGCCGACCATTTGCCGACGAGTCGCCCTCCGACGAAGTCGCGAGACTGAATGGTCACACTGGGTCAACCAGGATGACGATGCTTCAAAAGACAGCATTTCGTCGTAGTGAAACACAATCACATACCAAAAACACCAGGAAAACGCATCGGCAGTTCTGTCGTAGGCGTGCCGGAGAAGGATCTGCAGCAGAGCAAAAATTTGACATGTCTTCGCTTTAAACGACCAACAAGCGGGAAATCTTGGCGGAGATAACAATTACCTCTCATAGGTTTCCACGGAGTTTAAATAGACAAGCTTGCACACACCAGGAAAGCTCTTTCTTCGCTTCCCTTATATGTATTTCCACCCCCATGCAACCATGCCGTGCATCATGGCGGGGGCTGCGACGCGTAGCCGGCGAGGGACAATGGCAGAGCAAGCATGGCTGGAAATGAGGTGCAGGTGTGCAAGTTTAGTTCTTGTCGGTGCGTGTGCCTCCAGTGTTACCACGGAATTGGCCAACGAAAGGCTGTGACCATAACAAGCACAGACGGAGTCTTCCGAAGACAGTCGGCTGACTGCTTTTTGCTTCATTGTAGTGTAAGTATGACGACAAGACAAAAGACACTTCTGAAAGCGGTCGGCACACCGAAATCAATGTCGTGCCTGTCTAGTAGAAACGAGCTTTCAGAGAACCTGGTCACTTCAGATAAATGCTTGGCACCGTGTTTTTGTTTTTGCGTTGAAAGCGCAGCCCATAGAAGCTCCCGCCTACTGTGGGGCACAAGGGGCGCGCTGATCGTTGCCGCGATAGCACGGCAACCATAAGCGCCTCCCCCCCACCCCTCGTTCGCTCACTAGATAAGCGCGCGCGCAGACAACACCAGCCGGAAAGGCGATGTTCGTTTCGCTGAAAGAGGATGTTAGCGTGTTACTTCCCATTGTATACACAGGCATTTACATCTACGTGAATTACAGTGGCAGTGGCCCAAAACACCCAATGGAGGATCTAGATAATTCATATCGCAATGAAAAGCTTCGTAAGTGGGAGTCAAACTCGCGACTTCTTTTTCAGTGATAACACATGCCATGAAAGGCACCCACTTTGCCTCGGTCACACTGTCCGGTGACTTTAC